GTGTCCTTTTTCTTCTTTCTTGCGGACTGGAAAATGGCAGAAATGCTCTTATTACTGCTGGCACAGGCGTCGTGGTGGCCGGCAACATCCAAAATATTTTTCGCAACCTAAAGGTTCTGGCAGACAGTATAACCTGTCATTTGGAGTATGAGCAATTTGCCTTGATAAAATATTACGTTGAGGCAGTAAAATGGATTTACGAGGCGGCCAAGCCTTCCACTGAACTATCTAAATATATAGTGTTCCTAAGGCATGAATTCACACCATCTTATTCAATTTCAGATGATGCGTTAAAACAAGAGCTAAATGACACAAAACAAGAAATCCAGAGAGTTGCTAACCAGATATCTTTTATGCTGACTGTACTGCCCTATATAGGCCAGAAAGTATTGCCTGTAGTGGGAATTCTTCTAGCTTCTTTTGGAACTGGCCTCTTTATCAAAAAATTTGTGGGCTCTCACACTGCCAAATTTAAGAACACTTATATCACTAAACAGTTCATCGCATTTGATGAGCACCAAAAGCAACAGCAAAGACCCTGCCTTCTGCCACTTAACAGAAAAGAAAGAAAAGATTATGTGACAATCCCATCTTTCTGCCTCACAAGGAAGGACAGAAAAAACATGCAGTATTTTTTTCTCCCTATAATTATTCATCTTTGCATCTGGCTTCTGTTTGCTGCAGTAGATTATTTGTTTTATTGGTTAATTATTTCTGTGAATAAACATCTCCAAGAAGTACCGGATCTAGAGATTCAACTCAGCCTCTTTCAGCAAGTAAGTACTTATCAGTACTTTATATTTCTTAGTTTAGTGTTGAAAAATTTCCCTTCATCTTCAGCAGCTGCAGGAGCAGACGTACAGCCAATGAGCTGTCAGTTCTTTCATGGCATTATCATTCATTTTCTTTCAGAAAGGGCCATTGTCTTTACAGATACGTATGTTGGATGGAACCAGACAGTTCTCTGCACTTTCCAAAGTGTCATCTTATTTCTAGAGAATAATAAATATAGGAAGAAGGACTTTCATTCCTCCATTTATATATGTGGAGAAGACCGGAAGCTTAAAATTGGAAACTCACAGTGCTGACAATTGTGAAGCACCACTTTTGTAGTCAAAATGCCACTGTGACACTGATGTAAGAGATGCCAACCATTCTTTCTTTAGCTGAGTATGTGAGGAGCTCATCATTTAAAAAGGCATGGCTGCGTACACACGAAATAATAACATGTTGCCGAAATCTCAAGGTTCTTCTGGCAGGAGCAGCAGTAGCGTACAGAACCATAGAGTAATCAGGTTGGAAGGGATGTCTGGAGGCCATCTAGACCAACCTCATGCTCAAAACAAGGCCGACTTCAGAGTCAGATCAGATTGCTCAGTCTTGTCTGTGAATACTTCTAAGGCTGGAGATTGGACTGCTGGAGTGTGTGAGCCATGTGATGCTGTGTGGGCACAGGAAAGCTGTCCAGTTTGATAGCTTGCAAGATCAGGCTTAAAACATTTCCCCAAAGCATATAACCCTTTGATACTTTCAAGATAAAAAGTTTTCAAAGGGATGCTTGACTGTTGGTACAATATGATATATGCTCTTTCTTCTGTCAATTTTTTCTTACTCAGCATTTTTCATTACTTCCTCTTAGAGCTCATAATGAGAATTCATTCCCATTTCTCCCCATCCCCCTAAAATTCATCTAGCCAAAAGCAATTCCAGAAAGTAAGGTTATTAAGGTGAGCAATGCAATAAGTGTGTTGCTTGAAATTACAAGCAAACAGAACAGGACATACAATCTTTGGCAGATTCTCATTCTCACTTTTGCATGTGTGACGTAATAAACCACTGAGCTGGCTTCTTCAGCCAGACCACATTTTCTGTGACACTGCTATACCACTGCAGGTTCAGCTTAGACAGCGTTGTGGCAGACTGGTGGTCCCGGTGTGTCATGGGACATTCATCTGGTTGGGACTGAACCAAGGAGAAGGAAGACATAGTGCACAGCATGCTTGAGGCATGGGAGCACTTCAGGCAAATGTAAACCACTGATGAAATTAGCTGAAATGAAGTCAAGCTGCTGGTCAAATTCTGTCATACTTCACATGATGAGATTTTGTATTGTATATCAAACTATCAAACTCTTCCATGGGATAAAAATTCAGTTATTGTCCAGTTTAATCTTAACAAAGAGTAGAGAAATTCAGACTCTGTATGGCAGACACAAGGCAAAGGTTTCCAGATTGTGTCAGTGGAAAACCACTTTTCCTTAAAGGATGGAGGCTGCCAACTTCTAATTGTTACCTTTCTAATTGTTACCTATCTAATTGTTACCTGAACTTTCTTTTAGGAAGGTAGGTGCAAAAGCCATTGGATTCACTGTAACTGTGCCATCAGCACATGTATAACAAGTCAGACCCATCCTGGAGAGGTCAGATTCCTGTGCAAAAGCAGAGAGGCTTTCATCATCTGGTCAGCCAGTCTAGTGTGAGGTATGTTGAGGAGGCAGATTGCTACACATGCTAAGGGGGCTTTACACCTCATATAAACCCTGCTGCTGCACATCTAGCATCACCAAACCAGCATGCAAAATGGTCCTGGTCCCCTGGGATATGGTCCTTCAGAGAAGAAGGGTTCAGGAGAGCTGGTTGATATTCAGAAATCACCTCCTCAAAGCTCAGGAATGTTTCATCCCAACTAAATCAAGCAAAGGCAGCAGGAGGCCGGCCTGGATGAGCAAGGAGCTCCTGACAAAACTCAAATATAAAAAAAAGAAGCATAGAGGAGGTGGAAGCAGGGACAGGGGACCCAGGAGGAATATAGAGACACTGTCTGATTGTGTAGGGATGGGGTCAGGAAAGCCAAAGCCCACCTGGAGCTGAATCAGGTGAGGCAGGCAAAGGGCAGCACAAAGAGCTTCTACAGGTCTATCAGCAGCAAAAGAAAGACTAGGGGAAATGTGGGTCCACTGCTAAGTGCAGTAGGGGTCCTGGTGAGAAAGGACACGGAAAAGCCCAAAGTACTCAGTGTCACCTTCAGCTCTGCCTTTACTAGGAAGACCACCCTTCAGGAATCCCAGGCCTTTGAGACTAGAGGGCAAGTCTGGAGCAAGGAAGACTTACCCTTGGTGGAGGAGGATCCGGTCAGGGAACATTTGAACAAAGTCTATGGGACCTGATGGGAGCCACCTATGGGTGCTGAGGGGGCTGGCTGATGTCATTGTGGGGCCACTCTTGATTATCTTTGAAAGGTCATGGTGCCTGGGAGAGGTTCCCGAAGAGTGGAAGAAAGCAACTGTCACTCCTGTCTTCATGAAGGGCAAGGAGGAGGATCCAGGGACCTACAGTCTGGTCAGCCTCACCTTGATCCCTGGGAAGGTGATGGAGAATATCATCGTGGAAGCC